CTATGATTCATACAGTATGCACTGGAGGTCTCTTTTTTATCTGAAGTGTTAGGAACAATGATTTCCAGGAACTTATTGGCTAGTCGTTGCCGGATGAATATGGCTACTCTGTCAGTTATGGGTTTCTATTGGCCCGTATTTACGCTAATCAAACGAATGGTGCTTCCGGGTCCGTCTAGGGAGGTAGGTTGCACTTACAAGCTGTCAATAGAGGAGGAAGCAAGAAAACGTCAACAAAGTCTTTCAAGCTGTAAGTAAACTTACCGTAAACAAGAATATGCCTTCATACTTTTTGGTTGTTACCTGTATGGTTCAGCTAAGACGTATACCGGTGACCCTTCAAGTGATATTATTGATTGGCTATTATTTTGGTGCAAATTTCTTTAAGCACAATTGGAATGCATGAGATGTTCCGCTTTTATTTCTTAGCTAAGGGTAATGGATCAACATGTGATTAAACATCCACTGTTCGTTTCTTCAGCTGTTTACGTAACAGTTGCCGGTGGTTCCCAGTGTATTTATCGTAACACCAGGACTTGTCCAGTAGCCACGGTATTTTTACTAGGGCGCATGATAACACTTATTTACAGTTGTGCGGCAATGAGAGCTGAATTCTAACGTGGAGTAGTAATCACAGAGTCAGTTGCCCAGCTCTCAAAATCAGATACAGCACTGAACAGGTGGGAGAGGGTTAGGTCGTCTCCAAAGTAGGAAAGCCCGATGCACGTCAAGAGTAACTGGATTTGAGAAAGTTATTAAGAGGCTCGCTGTCTTACAATGATTACTGCAATGTAGGCTTGGAGCTCGCAGTTGACTTATTCAGCGCTTTAAAACACTTAAATGTTGAATGTGTAACAGCAGTCCTACCTACTGTTAATTAAATATAAGAACTTAAGAAAGCTGACTAACCAGAGGGGAGATTGCAGTAGAATTTTCTGTAGAAGCCATATGGACATTAAACCTGTGGAATGTGTATGAGGTTTGAAAAAGCACAACGTTTCCAGATATTTTTTCCCCCCATCTGGTTTGGTCAAGTGCTATTAGGCCATTTAAAAAATAGTGCTTGCAATGAACTGCATTCAGATCCACACTGTCTCTTGCTTCCTGTGAAACCTGTTGCCTGAACTATTCTGCATGTTCAGTCAGTAATTAATACTGTGCCATTGGTTGGTTAACTAAGATTTTTTTGGTGTTTAACAAAATGGGCATAATCCACTGGAGGCAGTCCAGTATTTAAAAGAAATTAACCTCCCAGGTTATTTCTCCTCCTTGCAGTTTAATTTATAATAGTCTAAGTTATGTTCATGCTGCGGTAGTTCTCAGTTTAATAAACATTCGTTAGCTTGTCCTGGGTTCTTCAGAGGAAAGCTTTGCTTGAGTGTGAGTGTGGTTGTTTTTAAAGGCAAACCATTTCACAGTGTGTGAGAACTTTCTGTATCAGAAAGCAGAGCATCTCTGTCGGCACATTCCTGGCATGAGGCAAGAGCTCAGTGACATCCCCAGTGCCCTGGATCCATTGACGCTTTTTAGACTTTTAAGGCAGTCCTGGAATCAGTGTGAGGCCACAGAACAGCTGCAACATGAAGGTTTGGGATCTAATCACTACTCTTCTCTCTGTGAGGGATTATACCTAACTACTGTAGTACAACATGCAGAAATTAACTCTTTACACTTAGCAAGAGAATGTTTAGAGACAACAGTTATCTTTCAATTCATTTTGATTCTGCTTACGGTACTGTATATATTTCGGGCATGTTTGGACTGGATCCTGTAACTGTTTCACATGACATATTTTATTTTACTAACTAAGGGTATCATTAGATTCAAAAGCTCGATAAGCAATTTTATGTTTTAGATGTCAGACATTTGTACCTAACCTGGTTTATCTTATCATAAACTGAACCCTGTGAATATTGCAATGCAGATTGCTTCTTATTTACTGTATGGGGCATTCAAGGTGAAAGGGTATAAGCAATACAATCAGATGAACAAAGTTGGAAAACATGCTTGTTAGAAATATATTTTGAGAGCAATAAAGACATTTACAGTAGCTGCCCAGAGCTGTTAATTGTCATGTTTCCTGCTATACACATAATGAACTTCAAGCAGGGGTGTGTGTAAATGAAAGTATGGCATGTCAGTTTTCCAGTTTCCATATGCTACCTTTGGCACCAAACACTAAATGAAACTAAAAATCAGTTATTGTAAAGTAATAACATTTGAGGTCTGCTGACATTTTTCATTCAATTTTTGCCCTAGATGCCTTAATACCTAGTGCATTTCGAAAACCGTTTCACACATCATAGGTGAACTTAATCATGTCATTGGCATTGGTTGACAAATCATCTGTTTATTTTGCAGTCTTCTATATTCTTTGGCCTTCCGTCTTCTGATAATTCCAGCAGAAATGAATAAATAACACAGATAATTTATCAGAAGCAATACATTTTATATCCCAGCACTCTGAAGTTCTTTATGTTCACCTGAGAACAACTTTCATCTTTGCAAGGCACGCTGCATAGCTTTATAATAAGCTGCTTTTGTCAGCCCACCCTAAGTATTATTCACATGGAAAGATCCTAGCTATTGTTCTGGTAATTAATTGGTTGTCTTGAGACAGGTGCAACAGAAGATTTAAAGAGGTCACTATAATACCTTGGTGTAATCATATTGCCCTTCATATTCAGCACAGCAAGTTTCTCCTGGGATTCCCTATTCTCTGCTTTCAGAGAGTGTCCCCCTTCTCTGTGCTGCCTGTTGGAAAATGGCCTCTCTGAAATCTGCCCTGAGGCAGGCAGTTGTTGGAGAATGGAAGTCCTGTCTCCTACGGTGCACTTCTGAACTCATTGGCTGAGGGGTAGCGCTCAGCTCCTACAGGGGACGGCTGCTTGGGGTTGACATCTTGCTGGATTTGTTTCGGGAAAACCCCACTTGGCTGTGAAAAACAATTTAAAAGTAGGAGCAGTCATGTTTGCTTCTATTCTATAGTAAGGGCAATGAGGAGCACAGTTTCAATGTAGCCCAGCTGGACTTTGCCTTGCACATTTATTATGGGACATTTTGTGTCAGATTGGATGTAAAAAAATGGTGAAAACTCTCACGCTCACTGGATTATTTTAGCAATTACCTCCCAAATGACGAAGCCTAGCTGAAAGTATTTTTTTCTTTCTATTACATTTTTTTTAACTGAAATTCTTATTTTTATTATGGTTTTACTTACGATTGTGCATAAGTTGAAAATTATTAGAACATTCTGCTTCACATATTGTGTACTGTATGTATGCAGAGCGTAAGAGTAATAGTTAATAGTTTCTGTGTCATACATGTGATATTGATAAGGAATTTGTAGAGTTTTAGGATTCTAATCTGATTGTTTAATAAGGTAAATGTATTACTTTAAAAAGTAAAAATGATAAAATAATTCTTCTGTAACATTTACGTGCTTGGTACAATGTGTCAAATAACTGGTAGATAAAAGGGAAATGAGGGAAGAGAATAAGGGAAATATTTGCCTAATAATGAAAATGTATTGGTTTACTGTTTTCTTTTAAGTAGTATGTTTACATGCATGTCATTATGTATCCAAACAATTGGAAGCAAAAAGAGAAGTTTGTGTAGTTTCAGTAACCTAACCTGTAGGAGCTACTGCTGCATTAAAAACTGGGTGGTGTTGACTTTTAATCCGGTTCTCTTGAGTGCTCGAGATATGAAAAGGTTGATCTTTGAGCCTGGGCTTTCAGAGGTTTTGTTTTTTGTGAATAACGACAGTACAATTATTATGTTCATCTTCTGCACTGAGCACACAAAGGTGAGTAGTGTACTGACAGATTTAGTGCTGATGGAAAAAAAGTGGTCAAATAATATTTTTTAAGCAAATGATTCTTCCATATACAGTAAGTCCAGGAAAAGGTTTTTTTTTTGCTGCACCCTTTAAAAAAATCTTAGATTTAAAACTTGAATAACAGAATTCCCTTTGTGTGTCTTTTCTGCATCGAGCTCATACTTTTATATGTCACCTCTTGATTCACATCCTCTTGCAAATATGCTGTATGTGTGGTATGAGAATTATGCTTTGAATTTCTGTCCGTCTGAACGGAGTTGTTTTCCCTAAGCTGTTGAAGGTGTTAATGCAGTGACCCTTTTCTCTCAGCGCAAACACTTATCCTCAGATTATTGTATTAGCATTGTCTGTAGAATTGTAATAATCTTATGTATTAATAAATACAGATGGATTGGTCAGATTCTGGAAAGTCTTTAAATCTCTTTTGGTCCTAATCGGTATTCTGCCTCGGCCCATCCTGGGGGAATGATCTTTCTTCAGTATGGAGTGGGTCTCTCGTCTGAGATGATAATAGTACTTCATTGAGTTTTTAAACCTGTTTGTAAATATTGCAGCATTTATTTTCTTTTTCAGCTAAAATAAAGTATCTTAATTTTTCTAATATAATATTATCAGATATTTTATATGGGCTTTGGAGTCCACGTCTTAATTGTTGCACTGAGGTCTTGCTTTTAAATCAGATCTTCTGCACCTTTCAGACTAATCCCAGAGCTTTGATTGTACAGTATAACAATTGAACAATAGTAATTTCAAAGTTTCCTGGTCTTTTTTTTATAGTTGTAATATTATTTGACCACGCAAGACCCCATAAGTATTGGCAGAAAAATGAACCTTTCTTGTTTAATAGTTTGTTTGCAAAAGCCATGTGCTATAAAATAAACAGAGCAGTAAACAATGTTGTGTATTTATGGTTTCAATGTAGTACAGGGCTATGTGTTATTATACTCGTGTTTGCTATTCTGTAGCTGAGAGGGTTTAAAAAAAGGTACTGAAGCCAAAGATAATAAGTACTTTGCTGAGCTTCAGCCTTCCTTCCTAATCACAGCCTCAGGAAATCCACAAAATAGATTTCAGCCGTGTCTCAAAGGTTGAAATGGGAGGTTCTCAGAGACAGAGAACAAAGCTGAGGCACTCTCAAGGCCAGTGTGTCTCTGCCTGGCCTAGGACTCCAAGGTGATAAGGGCTTCAGAAAAATACACCGTGGAGCCAAGAGTGAGGATTTAGACAGCCCTTCTCTAATGCTCACTGACCGGTATGTGCTTAATTCCATTTTCCATGAGCCAGGTGCAGTAAAAAGACTGGTGCACACAGAGAGCTCTCAGTCCATTCACCACTACACACCACATCACTTTCTTCTTCCCAGTTGTCAGTTGCTTAGACTCTGTCTTTCAATACCATTTCTAAATGCTGTCAGGCCTTGCGCAGCATGTAGGGAGGTACAGATTGTTTTTTCATGGGTGGGACCTTATTTCTTCAGGGCTTAAGATTCCTCTGTTTTATCTTGCCAAAGTATCTCATCATATTTTCTCAGCGAGAAGAGAAAATAAAGGGGAGAGGTTATTGTTTCACCTGTTGCAGCTAGGCTTGTAAGGGGTTTGAAACCATTAATTGTCCATTAAAAGCCTCCTATAAAACATGCTTGGCTGTGACTGTCCTGGACCAAGGCTGCTGACTGCTGTTCCAGGTAAAAATATTTATAATCATTCTGCAGTCCTTTTTGTACTACTGTATGTAGATGACTGCATGGTGACCTACCACAACAACTGTAATCTCTCGTTAACAAAAGTTCGTTTATGGTGTGAATTGCTTCTGTAGCTAAAAAGGATCAATATTTTTTTATTAGTGATGTACACTTAGCGATATTCCCTGGAAAATGTCATCAGTATATTAAATTACTGCAGATGACTTTTCTGAAAGTGTATTGTATGCAGTACAAAAGTATTCCTGCACTACACAGAGGCTATGAATTACCAGTATCGTTTTCAGTCTGTGTCCAGAAGCAACTGATCAGAAACCTGAAATCAGAAAACTAGGAGATACAGTAGTACACTGTTTACAAGCCTGTCATTTGTCTTGATTTTGTACGTTAAACTTCTGTTTCTGTGGTCCTTTAGTTTGTTTCTTTGAGTCTCTTTGTCTTCCTACCTTAAGGAAACAAAGTAAAGGCTCTTACTTAAAACAGAGCAGTCATTTTTGCATGTTTTGTTCCACATCAGAATCATAGATTTGGAGTATCACTTTACTGTACAGTACATCTCCTTTTGTAGTTAACTGTTCACAAGCCTTGATTGTTACTTGAAGTAAGGAAAGAAGGTTCCAACTGAACTTTCTTCCTTGGGATTTGACATGGGATTTTCCATGTCTTTGGCAATCATTTGTCTAGAACAAAACTAAACGTATTGACTGTGAGAATAAAATATCAGGTAGGTGCTATACAGTTTTTCACTAGGTGTGGTCTATGTAATTACATGCTGGCTGGTAACTACAATAATCTGACTTAATTTGTATTTTTTAGTTTTGTATAATATACCGTACATGTGTTGTTGAAACAAGTTTCACATGTGAGTGTTTCCAAAACATTTGGAGCTGAAGGGCATTATCATGCTATATAAATGTTTATACATATCCTTTTCACATTTTATCTTTTGTGGAAAAGCGGTCATTTTGTGGGGGATAATTCAGTGTTTTGGAAATGGATTTGAGAGCAGAGGGTGTGCAAGATTAATTTATCTTTCAGACACGTAAAAGCAGGTACTACTGTTTTAACATTGGTTTCTAAATTGTTTCTACGTGGAATAAAATCTGAACTGTTGCAGCAAAAAAGTGTTAAAGATACTGTTAACATGGTATGACAGGCTTCAGGATCGTCTCTGTCTGCACTGGATCATTATCTGGAGACACAGTGTACCACTAGCTGGGCTCCAAACCAGGAGGATTTGCTTATGTAATGACTGGTTCCAGGAGATAAAAAGCTTTTAATGTGGCGTTGCTCATGTGCTTGGATTGACATGATGCACTCTAGTCAAAACTCAGTACTCAGAGAGTCCTGTTGTCTGCTGCCTTGCAACAAGTTCTGTATCTGTGGGGCAAGATGGTTAAAAGAGAGAAGAAATAGTAAAAACCTTTTTTTATTTAAGACTCCTTGTGCTCTCTTTCTGTTCTGGCTTATTCTGCTTTGAATATGAAAGCAAACTTGAAACCTCGCTCATCTGCATTACCTTTTACACATGTATTTTGTTTCTTTTTTCAGGTGCTGGCCCGTGAGCTGATAGCGTGGGATGGGTTGTTCCACGTCCAGCTCTAGAAGCGTCTGCGATTGAGCCAGCCTGAGGACTCCAAGCCAGATGAATGAGACAGGGCTGCTGACTAAGAGGATCTAAATTTCTGCCAGCTTCCCCCAGGTCCCTGGGCCCTGTCTGTCTAGGGGTCTGTCTCTCTCTCTCAGTGTCAATCTTTCCCCTTCTTCAGTCTCTGCCCGTTCGCCTCCCAGGCTGTTCGAGACTGTCAGTGCTTTGCCGTGCCCCTGGCCTCGTGCCCTGCGCTGCCCTCCACTGTGTGTTGGCGTGCGATGGCGCGGCAGGACTCTGAGCGTTGCCGCTGCGGGCTGTGATGTCAGAGCCCAGCAGCCCCGGTGAGAGCCAGCGCGGCGCTCCCAGATTCTTCGTGGGCTGCGAGGACGATGAGAGCGAGAGCCTTGGGGACACCAGCATGAGGACAGACATGGATCTGTACGAGGATGACGAGGAGGCGGACTTGGTGAGGGGAACCGGGGGGCTCTGGGGTGGAGCGTGACGTGGAGGAGGGGAAGGGGGAGAAGGACAAACTGGTGCCAAATAACTTGGAGGGTTCATGTGTGGCAATATTGGGCAGCATGGTGATGCAGTGGTTAGTATTTCTGCCAGGACTCAGATCTGGGAACGTGGGTTCAATTCCTAGGGTGAGATCTGCATGGAGGTTTGTATGTTATCCCGATGTTTATGTGGGTTTCCTCTTGGTCCAAAGACCTGCTGGTAGGCTAATTGGCTTTTGGGAAAATTGGCCTTCCTGTGAGTGTGTGTATGTCTGTGTGTGGCCTGCAGTGGACTGGTGTCCAGTCCAGTGTGTATCCTGCCTTGTGCCCATTGATTGCCGGGATAGGCTCTAGCTCACCAGCAACCCTATGTTGGACAAAGTGCTTGGACATTGGATGGGTTGTGCACTACACTAATGAATAATGGGTGATTTGCAGGGTGTTTTCAAAAATGAACAAAACTAATGATACAAACATTTTTGTCTTTTTATACGTCATAATTCTCTAATAACTGCACATCGAATGACTTGTACTGTACTTAACTTGAATGTAGGGGGACATTTATTTTTTTCCTTGGAATGGAAATTAAATTTTTTATGGGGAGATTTGAGTGCAGGTCTGCAGACGTGAGTGCAAGGCCTTTACGTGATGGATGTTAAACTGTCGGTGTTAAAAGCATGGGATTTCCGGATTCTCTCCTCAGCCGCCAGAGCGGCAGATCGTGGTGGGGATCTGCGCAATGACAAAGAAATCCAAGTCAAAACCAATGACTCAGATCTTGGAGCGGCTTTGTAAGTTCGAGTACATCACAGTGGTGATTTTCCCCGAGGACGTCATACTCAATGAGCCTGTCGACAACTGGCCCCTCTGCGACTGCCTCATCTCCTTCCACTCTAAAGGTAAGGACCCCCGGCATGTCCATTGTCTGGAGTGTGCTGGAAGGAAGCACCTGCAGAGGAGCTCCCGGTGGCGCTCCAGGAACAATGCACTGACAATGACAAAAATCACCTTGCATGCCCATACTGTACCTCTTTTCAAGAATGTTCTTTTTATGAAAATTGGATACTATGAAGCATGTACTGTAAATTTTTACCCACATCTAACGAATAACGAAAGCCAACTTCCAAACTACAAAGAATTGACGTGAAGAAAGATGTGGAAACCTCTGCCAAGTGTAGAGAGTGAAGAGGAAGATGTCATACAGCCCGTTTCATGTTGAGTGTTCCCATCACATTCCACTAGCTCGTGTGGAGGGGGATCTAGCGCAGAGCCACAATGAGCGGCACGGGAGACGTGACACAGCTCACCACGTCTTCCTTCATGCATTGTGCGCCTTTGCTTTTCATAAGAATATTAGACTTTGCCTTGGATCCTAAAGGTGTTAAGAAAATGAAACGCACAAATATCATACAGGGTTTGTTTAATTACACAAATAGAAAATTTAGTGGTTACTGTACAGTAGTATACTTATGTATGAATGATTAATGATATAACTGCGTTAGGTAAGTGGGTTTTTTTATTACTAAAAACACAAACCACAGTATGAATGTTAGTCATTATTGTTTCTTTTTGTCATTTTTTTGGAGTGAAAAAAGTAGAGGTGACATTTTTGTGATCCGGAGTGGATTATAATTTTTCCTGGTAAGAAATCATGAAAGTTCAGTAGGTTTTTCTGTTTAGGAATTTATGTTACGAAAGGGTGCGAATTAAATTCATAAAAAGAGGTACAGGTGTATTCTGTTGGACAGAATATTAATCAATGCATTGTAAGAACAGAAGGGCTGCATAAATAAGAATTATACAGTTGAAGAGGTTTTCTGTCTGATCCTTCGCTGAGCTGTGATCTGTGAAAACTGTCCAAGTACACTATAGGTAGAATTTATGTTAAACATAAATTTGCACTCTAAGGCTCCAATAGATCACAGTGTTCATGGACATAAGGAAAGGTTTGAGGTTTGGTGTAGTGCACAGTATGAATGTAATGGTTTATTATTTCTAAGATAAAAATATTAGAATTTTTTAAAAACACTGTAGAACTGGGTATTTATTTCATATAAAGTCCTGAGAAAAATGTATATTGAAATGCAAAAACAAGAGAAAGTACTTTTTAATACGAGCCTTCAAGTCTAAACAGTTCTCTGTTTCCATGCATATGCTTCCAGGATTTCCTCTTGACAAAGCAGTGAGTTATGCAAAACTACGGAGCCCACTTCTCATCAATGACCTGAACATGCAGTACTACATACAAGACAGGTATTGTATTGAAGCATCACTGCAATGTGGAGGCTATGTAGTTGTGCTAATGGTGAGATGTAGAAAAAGAGGAATAATAGTGGATAGATCTTAGCAAACATTTCAGTATCTGTAAGAATCTGTCTTATAAAAAATATTTGTCTTGGAAAGTGTGATCTGGGGCAAAGTACCAGAGCAGTATGTTGAATGATAGGAGTCCATACTTTTTAAAGTCTTTTGATTATTTCACAGGAGAGAGGTGTATCGGATCTTGCAAGAAGAAGGGATCGATTTACCCCGCTATGCTGTTTTGAACCGGGACCCAGACAAACCAGAAGGTGTGTGTGCAACCATCTAGTAAGATGTTTCAAATTTTTTACTCTTCAGTCTGAAAATATGTTTAACCTAACTTGCAATGCTGAGCTAGCTGAGGCATCCAGATGGTCTAAAATGTTTAGTTGGTGGGGCAAGATCTTATCTGTTTTTGGTTTCATTTTCTAGCAAAGTAAATTATATCATAGTAAATAACCAAGGCATTCTATACAAATGGTGTCATTTCCTTGTATCAGTCATCTTACCTTTCAGATTACTTTAATACCAAAGTATGTATGGATGAAAATATGTGTAAACATTAAGCTTTGACCTGTCTAGGACGTTTTCTGCCTTTATTGTATTTGACAATTGCCAGGTTTTGAAATGCTATGTAATGTTTATATATAAAGTGTTCTCAGCTCCCAGATATGTATTCTCAACTTTCACTTAAATATACTGAGCAAGCTGAATGATAAAACTGCAGTACAAAATACCAAAACTTTAAAGATCGGAAGGGGATTTAAGACTTAGACAGCTTGGAAGTTAAAGGGTAATGTTCAGTTTGTGAATTTGCTGTGGTTCCGTATGTTTAAAGGCCAGTGATGTCAAAAGATATGAAAGCTACAATTCTTCTTGTCTTTATTCAAATCCCATGTTGGTTTGCTGGTACAGAATAAAACCAGTAACATATCAAAGAAAATGATCAGCTTTTTCAGCATGCCCTGCTAATTCCCTTCTGCACTTCTCTAGCCATGGGAAGAGAACAATGACAGTGTTAATTGGAAAGCTGTTGTTTCATATTAGCATAAGTACAGTAATCATTCTCTTTTCTTGTAGCTAATTGTACTCTTTGCCACACTTGACATTTAGTCACTCATTCTATACCTCTGTGTCCAGTGAAGTGATGCCTTCTCTTCTGTGACTCTCAATGTCTCTGTGTTGCTCACAGAATGCAACCTGGTTGAAGGAGAGGACCACGTGGAGGTGAATGGGGAGGTTTTCCAAAAGCCGTTTGTAGAAAAGCCAGTCAGCGCAGAGGATCACAATGTGTATATCTACTACCCCACCTCAGCTGGTGGAGGCAGCCAGCGCCTCTTCAGAAAGGTGCCTTCTCTCGTTTGACTTCTCTCTCAAGCTCAGCAGCCGCAATCATTCAGTTTGTATTTATTTATATGGCAATAACCAACAGGGGTTATGAATCAAACAGAAAGTCTGTAGACGTAACCTACTGTGTTTTCAAACCAATACAGAAACGTGTGTCATTAAAATATGGCTCCACGTTGCATTGATCAAGATGGGGGCTCACAAAGTGATAATGCAGTTTTCTTTTTTGGGGGATAGAAGTAAAACAGCTTTGTGCGTGGATAAAGCAAAACTGAACTGCACTGCTTTTGCAAAGCAATATCACCTTAATCATAACGCAACTACATAGAATGATGCTGTAATACACAAAAAAATACAAATACAGTGTATTGAAAGTAATTGCTCGATGCTCATAACCATAGCAATGCCAGGCTGAAATGTAATAGTGCGTGGCTCTTGTATAAAATTAAAGTGGGTATCACTGAACACTTTCAGAGCAGTATAATTCTTAAACCTTGTGCTTGCTTCTGTAGATTGGGAGTCGCAGCAGTGTGTATTCCCCAGAAAGCAGCGTGCGAAAGACTGGTTCCTACATCTATGAGGAATTCATGCCAACAGACGGGACGGATGTGAAGGTGTGGTTGCAGATCAGGTGTCCTGTGTGTGTTTGTGGTGGCCAGCAGCTAAATGATGTGTTTGTGCGTGTTTCTTGTGACACACAGGTGTACACCGTAGGGCCGGACTATGCTCATGCTGAGGCCCGCAAGTCTCCTGCGCTGGATGGGAAGGTGGAGCGAGACAGTGAGGGGAAGGAGATCCGTTACCCTGTGATGCTCACTGCCATGGAGAAACTCGTAGCTCGCAAAGTGTGCCTGGCTTTCAAGGTGACTCCTCTCAGATTCATTCTGCAGCCATACATATATTAGCTTGGAAGTAGTGAGGTGTGTTTTTCCCTGACACTCTTCGGCATCGTGCTGAACCGAGAGGAAAACAAAAATCAAGACTCACACAGTAATGTAAATGATAGTAAAGAAGCTCAAAAACAGAAGGAAGTATTGAAAACATTAAATTATTCTAATTGAAAAAAGAAACTCACAGCTCACATAAATCCCAGGTCATTGTTTGAGACCTAAGATATGGTCATATCTGTTGAAGATGTGCCCTGAAAAAAAACATTTTTTTAATACATTTACTATAATAATCAGCAGCCCTGTTCTGTTTCTCGCAGTATTTTGGTGAGCTCACTCATTTAAATTAAAGTTGAATTGATTGAATACTTGGGATATCGTAAGCTGACTGACTCATACTTCGATTTCAGCAAACAGTGTGTGGGTTTGACCTTTTACGAGCCAATGGGCACTCCTATGTCTGTGATGTTAATGGATTCAGCTTTGTGAAGAACTCCATGAAGTATTATGATGACTGTGCCAAGATCCTGGGGTAAGTAGGATACTCTTCACTGGTAGTGATAAGTGTACCCAACAGTCAGGCTCTTTTACCTTGATTTATCAGTTCAGTTTCACTGTATACTGATTTACCTCAGAACATGCTGAAAAAAGAAGAAAGAGAACACAACGTTTCGGCCGTGGAGCCTGAAGAAGGCTCCACGGCCGAAACGTTGTTTTCTCTTTCTTCTTTTTTCAGCATGGAATAAACCTATTACTTGTTCCTTTGCAGCCTACGCATGCTGACGCAGCTACCCACCTGAACTACTACCTCAGAACATGTTTGTATTGATAAATCAGAAAATTAGAACACTACACTGTACAGGCATAATTTTATGTAATGCATCTGATGGGACCAATTTTTATAAAGAAAGAAAAACATAACCAGTCTGGTATGGTTTTAGAAGAGACTAATTAGAAATACACCTTTCTTATTTCTGTCAGTAATATTGTAATGCGGGAGCTGGCTCCCCAGTTCCAAATCCCCTGGTCAATCCCTACGGAGGCAGAGGACATTCCCATAGTACCTACCACTTCCGGAACCATGTGAGTACACAATTGGAATTGTGATACGAGATTAAAATGGATATCATTTCCTCTTTGTTTCTGAATTCTTAGTTCTTTTGAGTTCTCTGCAGAGCTGGGGGGGGGGAGTAAGAAAAGATTTTTACAGATGAGTGTATGTTGATTGGCTTCACACTGTGCCAGCAGCCTCCTGACACTGTTGCTTTTTGTCAGGATGGAGCTGCGCTGTGTTATTGCAGTGATCCGACATGGAGACCGAACCCCGAAACAGAAGATGAAGATGGAAGTGAGGAACCCGATGTGAGTTTTTGTTGTAGTTGTGAAACTTGTCATCTTGTTGATTTTACATCTTGTATTCCACATGAGTGGACTTTAGTGTATTGATTTTTTTTTTTCTCGAAGACCTTCATACTTCAGTTGTTTTCCAGTTTCTCTGGAATAATTCTTTCCACCTTTGATGATTTGTCACACTCCAATTGCGTAGTTACTATTCAGACACAATCACATGCCCAAGTCTGATATAGAAAATATACTGGGTATACAGTATCATTCTACTGTAAGTGAATTTTAATATGTAACTGAGTGTGTTACATATGTGTGTGATAAGTTTTACTGTATTTTCATTATTTACCTTATCAGCATGTCTTTATATATAAACTGGACATTAGTTTGTGGTTTTCTTTCAGGTTCTTTGATCTGTTTGAGAAATATGAGGGCTACAAGACAGGAAAACTGAAACTTAAGAAGCCAAAGCAGTTACAGGTGAAGAGAAGACATCTACAGTATGTCAGTCTAGAGATGTAACCACTAGCTACATCAGAGACTGTCTTCTTACTTCAGAGAGTCTGTTGCCATTTGGTTTATTGTTCTTTGTACAGAATGTGCTGCTGAATTAAAAAAAAGAATCTTACTTACTGCACCCACATAGAATAAGAATATCCATAAGAATATCTGGCTTGATAGTATCTTTAATTTGTAAGTGTTAGTTGAGATTCTGTAGTTATTATAACCACTACATATTGAAGTCGGATTGCTAAGCATTCAGTATTATAAATCTAGTGTACCATTTGAATTGGGTGATTTAGCTCCACTCTCTGTATCTGAGAAGTCTTTTTCTTTTAATTGTCTTTGTATGTGTACAAGTCCACTCGTAATTGCATCTCCAAGCGCATTGCTGTTACCTGCTGATTGGATGTCATTCTCCAGGAGGTGCTGGACATTGCCCGACAGCTACTGGCTGAACTGGGCCAGCACAATGACTGTGAGATCGAGGAGAAGAAATCCAAGCTGGAGCAGCTGAAGACTGTGCTGGAGATGTGAGTGTTCGAACAGGAAAAGAAAAAGTGTTTGAAGAAGTTGCTACATAATTCTAAACATTGTGTATGTTATAAAAAATGTGCAGAGCATTTTTAGATTTTACCGCGTTGATGTATGCAGACAGTTGGGGTGATGTCCATTTATTCATTTAATATTCACAGAGAGAGGAGTCATGGCTATTCCAAATAATATTTATTCTTTCCATTACTGCGAAACTGTAGCAAAGATGCACTTTTTTGTTGTCGGTCTCTCTTGGTTTGTCACTTATACTGTATATTTGTTTTGCTCTAAAATGCCTCACCCAGTTGCTCAGCTGCGTTCCCTGGCTGTGTGCCTTCTATGTCGTCATGCAGTCATGCCAGCTTGTTGCCCAGTTCACTTTTAGTTGCTGTTACTTTGTCCTGACAAACTGTACTGTGCCGACAGTTTTAGAATACTGTATATCTTGAATTACTGTACATTCATGTGCACACAGGCACAAGATCAGATGCTTTATCATTGTTATGCAGTAGTTATGCATTAACAATGCATAATTATGTAACATGCCATTACATAGTTACATAGTTGTTTTTCTCCCACACTCTTCGAAGGGAAATCCAGTGTGAATGACTATGGTACACACTCCTTAACCCTGTCCCTTTTGATGTTTACCCATTTTATCATTGTCATTAAAGTGGTAGCTGTGCAGTAAACTTCCACAACACCAGCTTGACTTTCATAATGTCTTCTTTGGCCTGGATCCCTGCAGTTGTTGTTATTCTTGCTGACTATTGGAACAATATTTAGAAATCAGCTTGATTTATTTTTAGCTTACATGTGAGAAAGAAGCTGTGTATTTGTTTTAGGCTCATCCTGTTACTGTGTGCTGTGCTGCCACGTGTCTGTGTTTATTGTTCCCTTGCTGTTGTTCCTTACCACATACTGTAAATGCAAAGTTGTACTGAGTTTTATATCTGCATTTTCTTTTTGCATTGCTGTGATCTAAATTCCAAAGTTGTGAGGGTGTCAGTTTACTATATTCTTTCTTCTTCAGTTTTTTTTTTTTTGGCCATATTTTAGTATTTGGTTTCCTTATGGAACACCTTTATCTGGCCCTTAAGTGCTTAGAGACCATTTTACATTTACAACAGAGCATCCAGAAAACCTGCAGTGCTGTAGGCTGGCCACCACGCCCAGATGAGATGTTTTCAGTACGCCCCGGTGGTTTTGGCTTTCACTGAATTTCTGCTGGGTAAAGATGCGTGGCAGATCAATGGAGAACAGTAAATTTCAAAGGTCACAGTTCTCTGTTTTCTAAAAAACGTGACAGAGCCTAAACACCTGGAGGTCATCCATTTGAATACTGCTCAAGGGAAATCATTTTCTGACCATGCTAGATCTGTCAGCTGCAGTATCTAATAGAATGTGTGTGAAGCATGTACTGAATTTCCTTTTGCGGATATTAGTTTACAATGGTGGTTTCCTTTCCTCTGTGCAGGTATGGCCATTTCTCTGGAATAAACAGGAAAGTGCAGCTGACCTACCTGCCCCATGGCCAACCTAAAACCTCCAGCGAGGAAGAAGGTAATAATATAGGAAGGAAGATGTAGACAGGGGTTCTGTGATATTCTAATGCAGATGTAATTGGGAGATCAGGTATCTTAACAGATTATAGCCTGCAGTCATTTATGAATAAGACATACTGGTTTGAGGTGTTAGACAGTAGTATAGTAGATATCAATGCCAGTGCATGAAATGGGACTGGTTCAGTGAGGTAGTGCAAGAGATGTTCCATAGATTGAAACGAAACCTTTGCAGTTGGTCATGTGATCCTTGAGGCCTGTTGTTTCTCCTGCAGATTCCCGGAAGGAGGGCCCCTCGTTGCTGCTTGTGCTGAAGTGGGGAGGAGAACTGACTCCGGCAGGCAGGGTGCAGGCAGAGGAGCTGGGCCGGGCCTTCCGCTGCATGTACCCAGGAGGGCAAGGTGCGGCTGGGCCACTGTTGCCCTGGCATGTACAGTACACACCTTCATTTATCAGTCCAGCAGAGTACGAGGACACGACCAACCACTTAACTCGTTTCCTCATTTAACATGTGAGGAACTCGGCATGCTGTCCTAGTGTTTCTGTCTTTCTTTTCCTCAAAGGAATATCAAAAGAATAATGGACCGTGGGCAGTCCATTGGAGGGAACAAAGAAGGAAGACAGTTGTTATCTCTGTCTGTTCTTTTGGTTTCAGAAGACCTCAGCACTGATCAGTTTATCTGGTGATTAAAAAGCACACCATCGCTTTGCACTGTGTGAGTCCTATTGGAACATCAGTTCGGATCATCGTCAGCTTGCCAGAAAAACGCAAAGAAAATATTTGGCCACAATTTAGTTTAAATTAAGTTATAACATACACTACTATCACAGATATTAAACTGAATGAGTTAAGATCAGAAAATATTTTAGAGGCAGCATAGCTTATAAGACTTTTTTAAGTATTCTGAAATCTCTCACATTTTCAAAGCAAAGAATCAATTTCTTTTCTTTAGAGGGCCCATTAAATAAACCACAGATGAGATGCATTTTAAAAAGCCTTCTCTGTTTCTTTGAACTCCATGGAAGTCTCAGGAGCACAGGAGATGAAAATGAAAATGCAGAGATAGATTACCTTGACTGTTCAGCAGGGTGTAATGTAGGTCTTTGGATCTGACTGTGTTTTTGCAGGTTTACTGAAGCATTTCTTCAGAAGTGTAAAACCCTTCAGCCTTGTGACTGTCTCTCTGCTTCCAGTTAATTTAAACAATCTTTTTCTTCCAGCTCTGCATTTTCTCTTTCTCTCTGCACTTCATTTCTTTGATTTGTTTCTGTACACAGGCATTTCGGAAGGTACTCACACTCAACCATTCAAACCCATTCTTTCGCAAGTGAAGTGTCACCTAAAAAATATTATTCCTTGACTTGTAAATAGAGTGAATCATTCACATTTTTCTAGGCAGAAGCCTGACAAAAGTTCCACTGCTTTTTTTCCTAATTAATATTTAAAATCATAATGAAAGTGACTGCCAGTGGATTAAAACTCATGCCATGAGACAAACAAATTTCCAGATCACTGACTTAAACAGAAATGCATTTTCATAGAACTAAATATATATGCTGAGAAGCTTTTAATATTAATCCATATTTCATCATCACTCATAATTTGAATGCACTCACAACCTTTAGAGATACTAAAATGTAGCTTGACACAGTAGTCTTAATGTTGTTATAGATAACTCGTGTATGCATGTATTTAAAATTGGCTGTCAATATTTTTAATTAATGACAAAAGTATTCATTTTGTTGTTTAAAAACTAAATCGTTATAAATTTGCATTGCTGTGCATGAAAGAAATGAAGGAAAACAAGTCATGACCAGAATGAATGAACTTGTCATGGTTAAGTATAGATGTACAGATCTCTGATTTATAAATTAGTTTCCCCAGTGTCATCGCTTTAAATGGAAATTTGTTCTCGGTAGACCTCTCCGGTTTAATAAAAGATGATTAGATCCTCATTCTACCAGTTACTGGGTCTCTCTAACCTTTTCTTTGGTATCCTAACTTCTGCATGTTAAGCTCATATGAATATATATATATATTTAATGGTGAATGAGAAAAGATAATGAGGTCCAAATGAAGGCATGCTTCTTTGGAATCTTGTTTGGTTTGTTTGTTTTTTTCAAGAAGGGGGTTACGTTCCGAAGTGTCACTTTCCTTTTAATTCTTCTCTGTTTTTCCTGCCTTTTCCGACTCGTTAACTACAGTAGATGGCAGCCGCAGCGCCCTGGGGTGTGAGTCCCCTATTGACTGTGGTAAGAAGGGTTTGGGCCACCTCTTCCCTTTCCTTCTCCATATTAACACTGGCCTGAAGCACTGTTGCCTCCATCTCCCTGCTAAAACCCTGCTGCACTTTAACACATCCACTGGACTAACAACTCGGGATGTGCTAAACAACACCACAAAAAACAAATATCTTCCCCCATGTTTTGCATTACATGGAGGCAAAATATTACTAAATACTGAGGAGAGGGTCCCTGTTTTTGAAGGCTGTTAATAAAATTAATACAGCCTGTGTCTGTTTGGGATTTAGGTGGATAAAAATTAAAATAAAAAATCCCCAGCATGGGTTAGCATTAAGCGCACATGACTCAGCCCGTTCAGGAATTCATTCCCTCGCTACAGCGTTGCAGAATTAACTTTGGATTCTTAATGATTCACCTAATAGCTTTGAGATTCTTCATACTGTTTCGTTATAAGTTTTATTATTTGTTATTATCTTAAAACTTTCAAACTCGTCACTGATGCTGTGCAGTCTGTTCAAGCACATCATTTTAGGAGAATGCAAGAAGGATACATGTTTTTGTTCATACTGTACAGTATATTGCTTTTTAAGTTGTGCGGACTCTACAGGTTACTGGTTGCAGAGCGCATGCTGAGCACTGAGACTGTGTGGGTTAATCAGAGGCAGTGTGACATGGTGCTGTTATTAGCATTCCATTCGTTTAGCAGTCTTAATACTGCATATCAATGGAAACAATGGCAAGGAGTTAAAGGAAGTCTTAATAGGGGGTTGATAAAGCCATTAGAATATTAATGTGTGCAAGAAGGAATAATTATGTATGCATATTTGCAGATATCTTTCTGGTAATCCAGAGCAGACACAAAGCTGTACAGTATTTTATTACATTCCTTTTATTTGATGACTTTGTGTGTGGATTTATCTTAATTCAGTGGTGTTTTATGATTAATATTTCTGTTTTTTTTTAACAACGTCTTAGGTTTACTTGATTTTATACTGAAATTATTTTATTGTCATTGACGGGGGCAGGGGCTGTTAACACTTGGCTACAATTTTGACTTTATCCTGTGAATTTGAGGTTTTCTACTTTTAAAAGCATTTGACAGCAAAGATACCTCCTGTAATTTAGTTGAGCAACCAGTGAAATGGTCTCATACCATGGCTTTTTTTTGTCATCGTGGGTGATACAGTATGCGCAAACTCCTGAGTTTGAGCTCTTTCACCTGCTGATATTCATTGATATTTTTCACTTTGACATTTAAAATGAAATTTATTTTTTCCCCATTCCCCATCATGATTTGTCTTCATCTCAGCTTTTGAATGAGCATGGGCTGCCTGTTCCAGGCCCAGCTTTGTAGGCTGCAGACATGCAGATGAGTTCCTTTACAGTGTTGTTATATGCCACGCACTTCAAATTCTTTTACAATACAGTAAATCCCATTCCAGCCTTATCCTTGTGGTATGAGGCTGCATTTCCATATATTTGAACAGTAAAGAGGTCTTGCCTGGATATTTTAAACATACAGTTGTCCTCTTTTAAAATGGCAATGTAAACATGAACACATCATTTATGTATTTTTTCTCCAACAGGGTGTGTAAAAGACGATCTGAAAAAGTCCATGGAATAATTGTATTGACCCACCTTCTGATAAGAACTAGCTTGATTTTTTTCTGACATTTGATTTTTGATTTGGTTTTATAATTTTCCTTGGTCACAAGTGTGCCTGACATCATCTGAAATGATCCAAGGATGAAGTAGTCTACATATGACCTAATGCTACTTTAAAATTAAAATATGTAAGTGCATGAAAAGGAACAAGAAGCTAAAAATTCTGTATTTATTATTCAAAGATATGTTTAAATGTTATCCATGTTGCACCAGCACTGATTCTCTCTGCAGTGCTGGAGGCAAAAGTCAAATTATTGTTATTGTATAAATGCCAATTGCAGCTGAAAAAAAATGCAGGGTTCCAGTTTTCATTCAGCTGTTGTGTTTTATTTTGGATTTACATTATATCCAAATGGATATATGGATGTATATCAGTTTCTAGACCCATATTTGTTTAGTGTTAATTCTCTAAATGTGCTTTGTTCATTTAACTGGTTATATACTGTACACCATGAAAATGCACTTATTCATTGATGTGTTGTATCTCTGATTTTCTCAAAAGAGAATTAACTTACAGTACCAGTATACAGTGGATGGTGGTGTACAACCATTTACAGATGAATCTGCGTTCTCTGTCAAACATTAATATTTCATTTTTCACTTTCTTTCAAAATCTTTCAGAATTCCCACACCAACAAGGTCTGGATAATCTATGCTTAACTGTGCAATATCTTACCAGTGACTTACTGAACTCCTTTACTTTGTGTTGTTTCAGGTAGAGGTTTTCCACTTTTGTTTCAGTGAAGGCAGACATGTTTCAGTTTCTGGTCATGTCTACTGTAAGTACAGTATATCCAGGCTTTCAGCTGATCCTCTGTGTGAAAAGTCCCTGTTCTGTGATGTTTGACTGCAGGGGACTACGCTGGGTTTCCCGGCTGTGGGTTGCTCCGGTTGCACAGCACCTATCGGCATGACCTTAAGATCTACGCCTCTGATGAGGGCAGGGTGCAGATGACAGCAGCAGCCTTTGCCAAGGTATTGTACAGATGCTGACTGTAACAGGAATCGGCTATGACCTGGATAATATACCTTTTAGAAAACTAGTACTTTCTGATGGTCATACTTATTAATGTGGAGGGAGGAGGTAAGCTTACTCTTTTAATCGCTCTGATGATCACTGGCTGATGAAGAACCATGTTAGTGTAGATAACTGTCCAATTGTGTATACTGAAGCTCATAGTCCCTGAGGTTTAGCCTTGTGTGTTGCAGGGCCTGCTGGCTCTGGAGGGGGAGCTCACGCCCATCCTGGTGCAGATGGTGAAAAGCGCCAACATGAACGGTCTGCTGGACAGTGACAGCGACTCGCTCAGCGGCTGCCAGCACCGTGTCAAGGCCCGGCTTCACGAGATCATGCAGAAGGATCAGGACTTTACAGAGGAGGACTTCGAAAGGGTATCCAGTGGTCCTTTTGTCACACGCTCTCCTACAGTATCTATACCATTTTGTTTTATTTTTGCAGTCTTGTACATCTGTTTCTCCCATGGTCATCAGTTGTCCAGGGAATCAAGAGCAGTTTAATGTTAAATTGGTCTTTAAAGTAGAACATGATTGTGTGTTCTTTGTTACCAGAGTCACCTGACAGCCTGCAGATGACATAAGACCTACTGTAGTGTAATTGCCTTGGTAATACAGTAGGTTATTAAGAACAATGAGAAGGAGTTCACATGGGTTTTGTTTCTTTGCCTCCAAACAGTCATTAATCTTTATTCTTTAGCCTTACCTGTGTGAAATAACTGACTGAATTTCTAAACTCATGAAAATTGTAAGCTTCTAAATATTTCTTGTGTCAATTAACAATAATATCTGTTTTTTCTGGATGTAAGATGAATTGTTCTGTCCTATTAGAGCTGGAATTGAATAGTGGTATACCGGAGGCTGATCTCTGTTTTCTCTGTTGCTGTGCCAAGCTGGCCCCAACCTGCAGCTCATCTCTGTTGAATTCTATGAAAGTGGTGGGGAATCCTGTCAAGACCTGTGACAGCGTCTACGCCCTCATCCAAAGCCTTACCTCGCAAATCCGCCGGAGACTTGAGGACCCCAAGTCAGCTGGTCAGTGAGGTTTAGAGATATTTAACTGTTTGGGGAACTCTTTTAAAAAATGCATCAACAAATGAATTCATCTGTGCTTCGAAGGTAGTATTGGTGTTTGTTTGACCTGATTAAATGTGATGTCAGAACTGCATGCCATTCAGTATAGCCTCGGTTTTCAAGTGTAGCTGCTGCTGTTCAGCCCCTTCATGGTGGGCAGCAGACATGGGTTGTAGGCTTGAAAGCCCAGTTGTCTTTGTAGTTTAACCCCTCTCCTGCTCCTCACAGACCTGCAGCTGTACCACAGCGAGACCCTGGAGCTGATGCTGCAGCGCTGGTCCAAGCTGGAGCGGGATTTCCGCATGAAGAGTGGGCGCTACGACATCAGCAAGATCCCTGACATTTACGACTGCGTGAAGTACGACGTACAGCACAACGGCTCTTTGGGGCTAGAGGATACGCTCGAGCTCTTCAGGCTCTCCCGTGCTCTGGCTGACATCATCATCCCTCAGGTAAGAGCTGAAGTGTTCGACGTCCTGCTTCAGACTTCTCCTTCTTTCTTACCTGACTGTTGCCGTTGCTCGCTTTAGGAATATGGCATCTCTAAAGAAGAGAAGCTGGACATCTCCTATGCCTACTGCCTCCCACTGGTGAAGAAAATCCAGCTAGACCTGCAAAGGACGCATGAGGATGAATCGGTTAACAAGCTGCACCCTCTGTGAGTCTCCACAATGCGTAACCTTAACAATGACTTTACCTTTTCACTCATCAGAACAGACTGCTGGGTTCTAATGGATGGCTGTTCATGAATTCAATGTCTGCTTTTTGGAAAACGCAGTTTTACTTGTATCACTGTAGATGTGAAGAGTTTGGCTTTCCCTTGTCCCTGCAGGGATCCAGTCCCGGATTCTTGCAGGCTCTGTGCATTCACAGTGCCACTCGCCAAACAGCAGATAAGTCTGCTCTCAGTAAAAGACTAGATCCTCATGAACAGCATAGTTCTGCACTGTCCAGATTTCAAAGGGTGGTGACATTGCACAGAATTACATTTATCACATTTATACTCCTACGCATGTGTGTTAAGTGTCCAAGATCCACATTTGTGTGATGATAGGTTTAAGATTAAATTTAATATGAAAATACAGAGAAGCCCAACAAAATAGTTCAGCACATTGCATGTTTTTTTTTCCTTTTAAAATATCAATGCTGTTGCAGAGTGGTGATGTTAAAACCAGGCTGTTCTGATTGGTTGTTCAGGTACTCCCGTGGGGTGATGTCTCCAGGGCGCCACGTGCGAACACGACTGTACTTCACCAGCGAGAGCCATGTGCACTCCCTGCTCAGCATCTTCCGCTATGGAGGCCTGCTGAATGTAAGCATGAAACACACTGGGGAGTTAACAGGAACGGGGCAGTGGATCGCTTTGAAATGCTGGGAGAAAAAGAGTCCAAGGTACTGAAACTCAGTACAGCGTGAGTGAACTGGTTCACACTGCATGGCCTTTTGGGAAAGACGATATGTATACAGTATATTCTGCTAAGATTTAGTAACCTAATGCGCAGTGCCTAGCGGTGACTGATACTCTGATGCTGATGTCTGTGTCTCTGACAGGAGGAGAAGGATCAGCAGTGGAAGCGTGCGATGGATTACCTGAGTGCAGTCTCCGAGCTCAACTACATGACGCAGATCGTCATCATGCTGTACGAGGACAACAACAAGGTCTGCTGCTCCCCTGACCGGCTGGACAAGTCCCACAACTCGCAGCCTAGAGGAAGCTGGAGCATCAGGCCAATGTGAAATTGATCTAAATCAATTGCTTTCCCCTTTGTGGAAACATAAAGATCAGCTGGTGAAAGCCTAGATCCCCAGAAATTTTACGTGTCCTCTTTGTTTTTGGTAAAATAATGGAAAAGATTGTGGCAGGGGGGTGGGGTTATGTTAAAAGAATGAACTTATTCATCATGCCTTGTTGGAGCTGAGTGGAGAGCTGTTTATGTTACACCTATATGGTTATAAGGGTCTGATCAACTCATGTGCTAGAAAGGTGATTCCATGTTCATTGTTTTTGTGCTGTTTGGCAGGACCCCTCATCAGAGGAGAGGTTCCATGTGGAGCTGCACTTCAGCCCCGGAGTTAAAGGCTGTGAGGAGGAGGAGAATGCGCCCATGGGGTTTGGGTTTCGTCCTGCATCTGCTGAGGCAAGTGCCCAAGCAGCTCCAGGTTGGGGGAAGGAAGCTGTGTTTGCTGCTGCACAGCTTACCCGGCTCTCTAACAGACTGTCTGTGTGACAGAACGAGGAGAAGCAGACCGACCCAGGCAGCTTGGAAGACTTGTCCCAAGATGAGCCGGACCGGGCTGTTCCACTCTCTGAGCCAATAAGCATTCAGAAGAAATCGCCCCTCACGCGCACTCGCAAGACTGGTTCCATGGAGGTACTACAGAGTTGAGAAACCATCTCCATTGCTCCTCTGTGCTCTTTACCCTCGGGGAGGTTTTTAGAACAAAAACTAAAGAAATCTCAGTCACTCCAACATACAGTATTATTTGATGTGTTTCATTTCTGAAGCACAATATTTAATCAGTTATTAAATGTAACACACGGGGTGTGCGTGCTCTAAGCCTAGAGTATTAAAATAACTTCTCAAGCTTTACATTGCCTTATGTTGGTCACTGCAAATCTCAAAAGCCACGTGCTGGGATGAGTGATTGAGTATTCAAGAAACATAGAAGGTTTAACAAACATTACGTAAGTGCAGTAAATTAGTCGGTCGTAGATTAAAATCATTACTGGAGACAGTTGCCAGAACATGCTTGTGGTTGTCATGTAGGCCTCAGAGCTGGCATGGGTGCTTGACGTGACGTGTGTGATCTTTGGAAGAAAGCCTGCGCTGTGACTGCCCTGACCTCGCTCTGGCATTATTTTCGTGCAGGTTCTCTCCGAAACCTCCTCCTCCAAGACAGGAGGTTACCGCCTCTTCCCCTCCTGCTCTCGGCAGTCCCCCGAGATGAAACAGAGCGGCTTAGGTTGGTGTCCGATTCCAGCTGCTCAGCATTGCCATCAGTCACTGCATTCCTTGTGCCAAATCTGAGCTAAAGAGGTGATCGGTGTATGTGTCTAGAATAGCCAGTTTTCATGATCACATAGCTCGTGATTTATCCCTCCGTATCATGTGCAGTAACCCTCTGATTACATCTGAGCAGGGTACAGTCGAGGTGCTTATACAATTACAGTTTGCTTATTCACTCTGGACTGTCCTCTGCTATCTAAGTTAGTCTGGCCAGTTTCCATAAATTAATTATGCTTCCAGTAGGAAGGATACATCACTGCAGTCACTTGACTGTAGAGAGGCTTTCAAGGATAGTGGTAATAATATCTTCTTACTTCAAAAGAAGTAAAATATTAATTCTGTCAAAGTCTATGATACGGTGTTAGTGCAACTGCAACTTCCTTATTAACAGACTAATCTGAGGTCTATTATTTTCTATTCAGAAAATGAACTAACTTCATTCTATACATATGCTAGTTCTCACATATACTGTACTGTAGGTGACTGCAGAATATGTTCAGTATATTAGGTTAGTTTTGTGGAGATTTGTACCCCTACAGTACAGTATATACCTCGCTATAAATAAAAGGAATACATTAGGCTGCATAGGAGAAGTTAATTTTATTTGCAATCCTGTAATTTTTAAATTGACCATGGTTCTGAAATACAAACCACAGCTTTATTGCATTAGCCGTGTTGTTGTTCAAGTAATTCAGACAGTGGAGATCTGTCAAATATGAGAGAGGGTGTCTATAGAAGAGAAGATGTATTTATTCATGCAGTATAACATTTAAAAACTGTCAAGATAGCAGCAGTAAATTTTTAGCATCCCATAAAGTGTTTTGTATTCCTTTTCTTTTGCTGGCACACTGACCTTTTATGATTTCACATCATGTTTTGACAGACGCCATAAATGTTTTGAAAGTTTTCCCTTCAGTATTTGGCTCAAGTGTAAGATTTGGCTGACACACAGGTGTTTAAGGTGACCTTGGTGTCTGGCATGTGGTTTAGTTTAACTCCTTTTTTCCCCCTCATTGTGTCTGGAAAAAAAAAAACATTCTTTGAATAACTGCATGCGGTGTTGTGGAGACTAATCCCTCCCCTCCCTGCCCTGTGGCTCTCCTACACAGGGTCTCAGTGCGCAGGCCTCTTCAGTACCACAGTCCTAGGAGGCTCTTCTAGTGCCCCCAACCTTCAAGACTACGCTCGTACACACCGCAAAAAATTCTCCACTGGCAGTCTGTCCTATAAAGACGGTATGTTGTAATGATTCTTTTACTCCTAAAACCTGAGCAGTGACACAGGATAGGTGATCGCGAAGCATCAGTCCAGACATCACTCTTAATCGACACAGTTCAGCTGACCTTCTTATCATGCTGATCACAGGGATCGGGACAGCTTTTTTTGGTCTTACGGTGTTGTCTTGGGGGGGGGGGGAGGGGAAGAATTCCCTTTTGAGTTACAAAACGTGTGTGGTGAAAACATCAACCTATATCGACATGACTAGCACCAATTATATAAAGTCTTGCCCAGGTCAATATCCATTACTGTAACTGCACAGGGTTTAGCTTTGTGCTGGAAAGGCATTACTTTCAGAACCCACAGAGCAGTGATTAACATGGGAGGGGTGTCTGGGAGCATTTTAATCGCCATTAGTATGCGAAAGAAGTTAAACCTAATGTTTTTCAAAGACAGCAGCCCTTTCTCAGGACTGCTCACCTAAAAGATAAAAAATAATCACTAATCCCATAGTGGGATGCTTCATTCATTTGTAATTCTAATCTGTGTCATCAGGTCAGTTTCTCTTACCGCATTCTGGTGCAGCAATCTGTATATAGGAGGAATCATAGCTTCATGCTGATGTGGAATTGACTTTTGATGTACTGAACTTTTAACTTTGACTAACTATTGTACCTACCATCAGCATTGGTTTGAAATTCATATCCCCCAAACAAATTAAATTGAAGTGATTTGCGTGAAGTGTCCTATAACTGTACTTAACATGATATATAAACTGTATATTATAGCCATGGCTCCTGTGAACTCTTGGGGCCGATGCAGCTATATTTTAAGCATTCTTGCCTGTGCTTTTCATGCTGTTATGATTGCTAAAGCCTTACTATGCTAACTCTGTTGCTTTCATTTTACTTTGGAATTTTGCAGAAAAAATGTACTAGTGCTTTACATTTTTTTTACATAAGGATGAACGAAGGAGAAAGTAGCACCATAAAGAAGCATATAAGATCAATTCAAAAAGAGTTTTGAGTCTCAATTGCAATGCCGATTGCAGTGACACATGCATTACATATTTAGCGAACAGAATGACATTGTTATTCCAGTAATGCTACATTGTGTGTTCAATTACTTTAAAGATCTCAGCAATTATCTGGTTTGGTATTTCCCTTCCATCAGCAGTGTCATAATTCAAAGCAGTGTGATCTTCATATTCAAAATCATCCTCATTCTCATCACCCCTGCATCTGTAGTTATCATACTCAAGGCTAGTGGGCTTTATGAAGACATTCAGTCCTTGATTGATTGTTTGAAACAGAAGTTTACCTAAAACTCAGTTTCTAACATATCCTCTGAAACTGAAATCATTCAGAATAACCTTGTATATGTCCTGGCTCTGATGGGATGGCCAGTGTCCAGTTGCAGTACAGTATGTTATACAGTTTAATCTGAATTGCAGAATCACTGTTCACTGTTGTTGGTTTCCTTGGTGACTGCTCTGGCACGTTTGCTCTGAAATAAGCACACCTACAGTAAAGTAGCAATAATACTGGCCGTGGCCGTGAAAGCAGGTAGATTTAGAACAGCTGTTGTAAATCAGGGTAGGCTTTTTCAATTTAAGTAAAGCAAAATAAAATGTGCTGATAAAATGAAAATATTATTGAACCTATAGTCAAAATGTGATTTTTGTTTTGTTTTGAATGCACTTCAGAGGAATTATCTTTCTACAATGCTTAAATAACATTAAATCAACAGACCTGCACATCGTTTTACAGTACATCAGGACAGTATCATTAAGTCTGGTGAAACAGTCTTCCTCCTTTTTGTACATAATAGAACATGAACAATCTGAGCACAGGGTGTAAATTGCTGTGTAGTCCATATTATCCTGTTATAATCCGAATAACATCTGAACAGTTTTACTGAGATAGATGGATCCCTTGCTCCTTGGGTCTGGTGTAAGATGCTGTTTTCCCACACATACAGTTTCTATTTCTTCATGTACAAAAGCTGGTGCAGTTACAAGATAAAGCCACGAGAGGTCCACACTCTTCTTCTATTGCTTGTCACAGGCTGCTTGTCACAGATTATCATGCCAGTGGTGTTTTAGCATTCTCTGCTGGTATATTGCTGCTTTTGAGCTTACCCCAGTGACTGTTTTAGTGAGTTCTCTTTATAAGTATTGTAGGGATGGAACATGAGTTATGTTAAAGGTTACAATATTTAACACAGCAATAACTTCATTTAATTTCTTGAATTCCAACAGGGTTACAACTCATTCATGTTATTGATTGAAGTAGCAGTGTCATTGTTATTGACAGCATTGTGACTAACTTGATGCAGTTTTCATTTCTTGACATAATTGTTTACCAGAAAATCAGCATATGCTTTTATTTAAACAGTGTTATAGGAATGTATCACAACTAACCAATGCTAGGAATGTATGCAAAACTAAGCTAAAACAAAACGAAATTATGTTAGAACAAAGAAAAAAGGCACTGGAAAAAAATGGATTTATGGAATCATGGGAAATAAATATTCTTAATGATTTATCTTAGTAAATGCTCAATTGTAATTCAGAAAATGTATATGATTATAGATTGGTTTCTTTTGCATCTTATCATACAGTCCACTAGGTGTCGCTGTGACGTCACTTAGGGCTTGCTGGTTAAGGTGCCATTTTAGGGAATGATCTTTTGTGTCTAGACGACATAACACTGCTGTTGCATCAGGTTACATAGAGCCCACTATCTGCGTTCCGTCGTCTTTCATCACACTGGTCATCATATTTTTTGTCTGAACCACCAAATGATCACTTTTTAGAGCATCATCACTTCATTCAGTTATTTTCCATTTTCTGTCTTTTTAGCAGATTAAGACACAAAAATCACAAAACACATTTTTAGAGCTTGTGTGAGTGTGTATGAGGGGGTGAGGGAAAGAGAAAAAATGACTATACGGTAAGCTAAATAAGACACTTTTGACACATCTTTTCAACATCTAAGTTAATTCTGTTTTGGAAAAGCCTACCCAGCCTGGAAGTGTGCAGGATGATTTTTAATACGGATAAAAGTTCTGGTTGGACTTTTTGAAGGGCTCAGAAAAGGGTCTTTCTCATTATTGGGAAGTTATTATCTCTTGTATGCTGGTATGTCCAGCAGTGCTCGCTGTTGTGGTGCTGTCTGTCACCTGCTAAGAGCCAGAGAGAATCCAGAGTCCTGTTTCTTGTCTAAGGACGTATGTAGATGTACACTGTGAAAGTACTGGAGCTTTCATGGCAGCTTCTAAAGGAAAATCAGAGTTCAATGCTTGAATCTCAGCACACAAATGTGATCTAAGCAGTTCTTTTCATAATACTGGTTACTTTGGGTAACCTTTGGTGAATAAAAGTATAAATGGTTCAGTGGAATAGTGATTAATCTTTCCGTTCTCAAAAATGAGAACTGAGGGGGCTCACCATTGTTTTCTGCCTTGCCTTGTTTTTTCAAGATCTTTTTCCAAAGGGACCTACTGTAAACCTAGAAAATTGTAGGTGTCAAAAACAAACCAAAATGACAAAAATTAATTATACAGTATGTTAAACATTTATCAGCTTAGCTTAAGATAGTATTTGGGTAACCACCAAATGCAGTATCTGTACTTACAATTACTGCTTCCAAAAGTCATACTGGGCTACGAACACTTTCTGATGTGAAAGTGTATGTCTGTTACATTCTTTTGAAACATTATATACCCTGCACCATTCACAGCTTTCCAGAATGTTCTACTCCATCTAGCCCAGCACAGCCTTGATTAAACAAATCGTTATCCTTCAGTTCCCCAGTGTCTCACACCTCCCCCACTGCCCCCCCACCACAGCCCCCCCCGCCAACATCCCCTACAGACACACACCCCCGTTACCGGTCCAGAGTGAAAGAGATGGTAATGCTAGTGACCTTTTTTATTTCCTCAGAGTTGTTGTCTATGCCGGCAGTAAAGCGATTTTCTGTGTCGTTTGCAAAGCATCCGACTAATGGTACGTCTGCTTCTTTCAAGTATATTTCCACTTCTCCATATCCCTTGTCTTGCATGTCTTTCAAAAACACACTCTTACTATTATTATTTTTGTTTTCCTTTTTTACTGAGCTGCCTTCTTCACATCTTTCTAACCAGACTTATTTGTTCTTTGCCCGTCTCGCTTGGACACTCACCCTCTTCCCATTTTTACATACTGTCTGTAAACTCCTGCGTAAATTTGTCACTCTCACCCAATGACTCGATGTTTCTTGATAGATGTATGTGTATATATACCCATGTGTGTGTATATACATCTTATAATCTATATAATTTCAGGATGTTTTGAATCTAAACCATCACCTGAAAAGCACCACTTATTAACCCTTCCCCTGTTATTGATGACTTTTGCTAGTTTTTCCACATACAGAATACTGTTTGCTGAGAACACAGACTCTGAAGATGCAGCAGATTGTAAGGGAGTGCCTCTAGATGGTAGTTTACTTCATAAAATAATAAGAGAAAGATCTGTCTTTAAGTGAGTGATTTGCCAGTTTAGCCAGAGGATTTGTGTGGCCTGCTAAGCTAGCAGAAGCATTTTGCCTCGGCACATTCTGAAGGCCCAATCCTTAGAGCTTGTTATTGCTAATGGGGAAAGGGTTAAACTGTGATTTGTGTTCATTATCTGTCTTTATCATCGTTGAGTTAATTGATTGATTCATTTGAATGAATACAAATGATCTGTTTGTGTTTGTTTAAGTGCTTGTGAAATGTGAGGGCCTTAGCAGTTTTTGAAGACCTCATTTCTCATGCCTGAATCCCTCCCCTTAGCAAGACTGTAAGAGGTTGCATGCTGAATTTTGTCAAAAGGCACTGCACCAAGGCCAATAAACTCCTCTTCACTTGTGACCAAAATAGTAGCTAACTCTGGAGCCCTGAAAACAATGGGCATACTTTGATGTGAACTGCAAGGAAAAAGCCTTTTGAAACTTGTTAGCTTCAGACACAAGCAGCCATACAGGATGTTTTCTGTATGTTTTATTTTAAGCTTTTCTATGCCAGGTACTTTTTCCTGCTGACTCAGTGGTTATCAAAAAGACATATCAAAGAGAATTCCTTATTGTCTCCGTTTTGTCTTCAGAGGATTCATTTGCAATTCACAGTGTTTGGCTGATGAATTGTTTCTATTTGCCAGTAACCAGTATGCAACACGTCTGTAAGGATATACTGTATACTGTAGCCTTTTTTCCAAGATGAAAGTTTTGTTTCCATGTGAATCTAAAAAGGAAGGTTCCTTGACCAGCATGTGCTCAGTTAGCTGTTAGCAGAGTGTATAAATTAAGAAACATACAGTAATGATTTCTTTAATGTACTGTGCTGTGAAACATTTTCAGCCCTCTTACTGTACATCATACATGTGTGTGTTGTATGCAGTCTTTTTGTGGCATTCAAGTTTAATGCACTATGAATCCACACAACTAAATAATGCATAACAAAACACTGATTTTTATGTTTAAAAATTCATTAGATGTTAAAAATAATCAAGCTCTATTTGCACAGGATACAATACATTTTATAACTTGATAAGCAACAAAGTAAATGGAACCTGCTTTCATCAGTTCCTTTCTTGCTGGATAGAAGACAGCAAGAAAAAAAGGAACAAGAAAGAACAATGCTGAAAAGGTTAGTTAGGGAGCTGAGCAATTGGATAACATTATGGAAGCAAAAGAGCTGTGGAGTTAGTTCAAAGGAACTAACATATGCCTCATTTATAAACACAAATTAAAAAAGCATATTCTTAATGTAGTTATTAATTTTGTTAAAGTGAATTATTTTACCAGGATATCTGATGTGAAACACACAAATTATTGACCTTTAGCTCCTGAAGAGAAATCCTATAAAGTTCAGGTGGGTGGCTGCATCAGCATGCGTAGGCTGCAAAGGAACAAGTAATAGGTATATTCCATGCTGAAAAAAAGAAGAAAGAGAACACAACGTTTCGGCCGTGGAGCCTTCACGTTGTGTTCTCTTTCTTCTTTTTTTCAGCATGGAATAAACCTATTACTTGTTCCTTTGCATCCTATAAAGTTGCTACCTCAAACTTTTTTGAACTACTGTCGTATGTGTGCTTGTTTCTGCTGAAATGATTTAGACATAAGTTTAATATAATTGGATTTTGATCTTGCAATTTTACCAAGGGTGAAAAAACTTTTCCACTCTTAACTCGCATTTCTACTTCTTCTGTACCATAATTTGCTATTTATAGATATTGGGGTTTTTGCATTTCTATTTAATGTGATAACTTTCATGTTTAAAGTTATTGTCTCTTAAAGTGTTGAGAGTAAAAAGGCTTGAATGTTCTGACTTGAGTTGTGTGGCTGCAACTTTCTTTCAGGATCCTGAGCTTTGTGACAAAATAAAAATACACCACCAGAACAAAGTGACTTGACAGTATCTGCATCTATTTTTTTCCCTGGGTTAGTCTACATCAGCTTTCGGAACAGGGGTTGTGTTCATAACCTTACAGAAGGCTGTTGATTAGAGCAACAGTGCAAACAGTGGGTGCTTAATGAATGTAATTCTTGTTTGTAGCGTGGATTTTCACTTCATTTGATGAGCATGATCTAATCCTGACGGCTAGGAATATATCACATTGCCGCCTCAGCTCACAATGCAGAATATATCATAGTACTATTCACCTTGTATATTCAGGTATGCATTCTGCAGACTTTATCTCTGTATCTCTCCAACCTAATCCATCTGCCGGTTAACAGTAATTCCAAAATAAGATCACCTCATTTGTTTTTCTGTATCTCTTTGTGATGCACTCTCATAATAATTCAACTAATTAACCAGCATTCCTTTTTAACAGATAGCCCGTCTTTACATAAGGGCAGATATACAGTAATTATCGGAGTCCAGGGTGAATGCAGTGAAGTTCTAAGGATTGTTCATTTTTATGGGCTGCAGGACAACTACTGAAGAATTTGTATCTCATACTCAAGATTTACACAGTGTTTTCTACAACTCACAACTGTCTTTGCATACTGTACCTCTGGACCTCTGTATACCTTTGTTATAGCGGCACTTGTAGCAACATGTTGCTAGCATGAATTTCTGTTGTTTTTTATTTACATGACATTTCGGTATTGATCAGCTTTTCCGGTATTTCAAGTCAGATACAGGTGAAAAATGCAAAAGAGGTACTTTGATGTTTAATTTGATAATATTTAAATTAGGTTTCAACATTAGGAAATGGTGAAGATTTTTACAACTGTAAAAAAGAATATACAGTATATATATCCATGCATATTATTGTGACAATAGTACTCTGGATTCTTACAGCTAATGCACAGATAACAGAATTGCATGCTCTTTTGCATAACCTCATTTCCATTAAACATGGGATTGCTGAGGAGCCAAAGTGACTCTGTAAACCTCAGTGAATTTCATGTTAGCAATGCTAGAGTTACATTACTTATTGCTGGCCCTTGACAATTAAATTATTTTAACAGAGCTGTTGATTTAAAAACATAAAAGGAAAATAAATTGATAAGCTATTAGATTTTTTGGATTGTAAGAAACATGACAGGCTATGCTTTGTATATCTTTGACTAAGTCTACAGTGGCTTTCTTGGACCTGTAGAGACCTTGGATTCAGATTCCTGAATAGGTGCAATAACTTAAACATAACTTAAACATGAGAAATGGGAGATTGGATCCACTTTGTCCATCATACTCCAATGGTAGGGTTCGTTATGCATGTGCTTAGAAATACGTGCTAACCTCTGAAGCTTGCTAATGCACATTACAGCAAGTAACTGTAGTTAATAAGCTGTTTTAAAAGCATTTTGTCTCATAAACAAAAGAAACTAGATATCTCATATCTAATTGTCTTAAAAAATCAAAGTATAGCATCATCAATAGAGTCTGATTTAACCAGTCTGTTTTTTCCCCCATTTAGTGGTATTACACACATACCGGGTGTCTGTCTTTTGGTACAATGTGATTCAGAGAAGAACACGAAAATAAATAAAATTTGAACTAAACTTAAAAGATTAATTTTCATGTTTGTGCACCTCTCACATCCACTTAATAGAGGGAGTATGTTGTAGCTGGATTGGAAAGTGGGATTGCTTTTTTATTGCATGCGGTAGCGGTTAGCAGTGAGGCCTAGGTGAAAAGTGTTTCTACTGTATCTTGAAATACTGTAGCTGGGTTTGGATGGTACAGAGAGCAAGTGGCGGACATTTCTTTGTCTGTATTCCAACTGGGCTTAACCCCAGTGACATGGTACAGTATGTGGCTATTGCATTAGAGTAACAGAAATGCATTTTTAGCCAGATTAAGTGGGCTTTTGAAATGCCTGAGCATGTAACCTGTAACTAAAGTTTACCGGACTAGCATTTAGGTCAAGCACGCAATCTTTGAATGTGTCCTCAAACCTTAGTATGCCATACAAAAACTTATTTGTTTTTGATCTGGTTTGTGTCCAGGTTCTGTAGCACATAGTGCTCTAAATAAAGGTGTGAAGGATTCATTTTGGACTGATATTCAGCACGCTCAGTACAGGGAGCTTGATTTGTTGTAGTTCTTTTCCGAAGTTACAGTAGCTCTAGGATGTAATTAGTTTTTTCCACAAGTGGTCAATCAAAACTATTTGACTAAACAGGGTAAACATGGTCTTCGGAATGCCCAGTTGTTCTATCCGTCTATGACAACACGTCTGTGATGAAACTTTGCAGCAGTAAATGAAGGACATTCTGGTCACCAGCACACGCAGCGTTCATCCCCTTGGCCTTGAAAGGGGCGAGTGTAAGAATAGCCGAGGGCTGTACCTCAGGTAGGATATTGCTGGCTCCTCCTCCTCTGCTCTGCTCTGTCCTTCCTCGCTCTACCTCTTCTTCCTCAGAGCCCCTGGAGGAGCACCATGTGGCCCAGCTGTTGCGGCGGTTTTCCACAGACCAGGCTATGGGGCGCCCGCTCTCTCTGGACGCGGCGCTGGCCCACCACCTCCACCAGTGCTCCTACCACCTGCGCCTCTTCCGCAACTGGTTAATCTCCGGCCAGGACACCATAGAGTGCCTCTACGGTCAGCCCTGCAGTCCCCCCCCTGCCCTGCTCCGTTGTGCCTGCGGCGGGGGCTGCTGCCACAGTTGGCTCGGCTTTGTGTAGCGTTGCACTCCTTCTGCATGTGTGCCTGTGATTTGAGGAAAGCTCTTTAGTGTGTGCTTTTCTGACCGTTTGTATATTTAAATTGTATTTCAATCTGTTTATGTTATTCATCTCTCATCCAAGTTCTAGCAGCCCATGGCTCTCTCCTTGCCTCTCTCTCCACAGTGGGGCTGTGCTCTTTCTGCCATGTTTGATCCTAGCCGATTATATTGACTTATTTGTCTCTTGAGAATGCTGGACTGTGTGAAACAGCGGCTGCACGCCAGCAATCCGGTATTCACACTCTTTGAATAGTGATGCAGCTGCTGGGCTACAAAACTAAATAAAATCCCCGTCTTCTGGCTGAGCTTTGCTCTGTGGGCTTTTGTTTGGATAACTCTTGGCATTTACGGTAATGCCGTTTCAGTACGTAAAAAGACAGGTTTTAGTGCTCTCTTTCTGTGTTCAGGGTTTATTGAAAGTTTCAGACCCGGGCATATTGGGCTTCAGAAGTTACTGGCTGTGGTGCAGAGCTTCTTAAGCTTACAAGGAGTCTTGTGTTATAATGCAGTTGCTGTGTGGGTGAAACAATATACTATATAAGTGGACCCAGTGGGTCGAGTGTAATATTCAGTACAGCAGACTTGGACTATGCCTGTTAAGGTACACCAAGCAGAGTGCTGATGTTGATCATGACTGTTTGGGGTTTTCCAGTGTTCCACGCTGTTTCTGCTTCATGGAGTCATTGCATGTGCTGTGTGACATAAGCATCAGCATAGTCTCACAGGGAAACATCACTACTGTGCTATGAAATATTGCTGCATATTGTGTGTCGGCTAAATGCCTTCCTATCAGGGAGATGCCAAGATTTGCACTTCCAGCACACCTTTGTGAGGGACGTTCCCTGCCTCCCATTGAAGTAGCAGGGATCAGACAGTATCTCTGAGGAATGGATACAGCATGAAAAAGTGGCTAAATGTGAACTGAATATTAGCCTGGAGTAAGTTTCTTTTTAGAAAGTAAAAATATAATTTTCAGTTTCCGTTGTCAGGTACATTCTGTAGTGACATTGGGGGACTAAGGAAAAAATAGTTTTTATCCCCAGCTGGTAGGTTGCAGTGGGAAAATGTCTTTAGGGGAAATGTTCACTATTAGATTAAGTGTTCCTCTCAACATCTGCTTAATAGAATTATTCCTGTCCTGTTCGAGCTCCTGAAGCTAGTGCAAGTCGATCTCCTCATATTCTCTAGTGTGAGGATAAGATGTGCCAATCATTTATAGTCACCAGTGCTGTATTTAGAGTCTGTGTCCTGCTTTTGAAATACACAGAATCTTGAGCTAAAGAACTGTTCTGCCTTCTGAGGGCCTGTTGCCTTCTATTGTAAGGGTACGCTGTGGTCATTTTCCGTCTGCACGAAAATGCAAGCAACACTGTATTCAGCATGAAATTAGGGATTAGGCTGAATCAGAGGCTTGTTTAGATGCTGCACGAGGTACTTGAAATTGCTTCATGGTTTTTCAGCTGTAATTGTTTTCTTTACTCATGTTAATATTATTGCATTTACCTATGCTGTCGTTACGTCATAGTGACATCAAGTTAATAGAATTCTTAAAGGGTTCCCAATTTGTGTGAAAAGGCTGAAGCTTTTGACTTTTTCACTTTTGAAAAGCAGACTTCATATTGTATCACAGTACATTAGGACTTGTTCTGGTACAGTATTGTCTTGATTTACAACCTGACGGGGATGTCTTTTGCAGATGATGATGATGATAATTTGCAGGATGTACAGTAATTGCTCACAACAAATTACCGTAGATACTTGTACTAGTCTGTCTGGCTGACTCCAAGTTAATACTAACTTTTACCAAATTGTCATTTCCACCATTTACACAACATATCTCCTGACTGCAGTCTGCAATAACTATTGTACACACCAGTTGCTGGCAGAGCAAATGTTTATAGAAAGAAAAAAATACTTGTTTCTTGGGGCACAGGGTTCCCATGATTAGCATTTGTCATGTTTAAACAGGAGTTTGATTAAAAAAAAGTATTGTTAAGATCGAACAACACTGGCATAATTGGAATCCAAACAGCATTGAGCTGACTTCTTGGGTCATCTCTTATGCTTGCTTAGTATGGTGGTGTGATGTTCTATACATTGACATATATCTATATTAAAGTGCCTCAGCCTTGGCACAAGACTGCAGTATGTGTATTTGTATGGATCACGTCTCCTGGAAATTGAGCCTGTCATTCTGAATGGATTGGTGCTTTGATTGACCGTTGTGTGACTCCAGTAGCTCACTTAGAAACTCATAATGAAAAAGCAGTAGGGTTGTGTGTGCAAACCTGCAGTGCTTGTGGGGAACCTCTGCAAGTGCAAAGACTCAACTAGTAAAAGGTAAAGACCAGCTTGACTAAGCAGTGATCTCTGGTGTGTAATGGTGTTCCTGAGATGACGCTTGCTTGTGAGGTCTGAGTTCACTCTGAGACCTCTTTGCACAGACTGATGGATGGGTGGTGGGATTGTTGGTTTGTGTCTCCACTCTGCTGCAGGATTTGAAGGCTGCTCGATGGTGCCCTCTATCTACCCACTGGAGACACTGCACAACTCGCTCTCACTCAAGCAGGTCAACGAGTTCCTGACTGCCGTTTGTGAGAGTGGCAATGATTCCCACTCCAGAGCCACCAGAGGTATCATACCATAACTCTGACCCTAATCTTAACTCTTCCTCCCTAGCCCTTGTGTTATCTTATTCATATTTTCTTGTTACCGGAAAGACAGATTCAGAAAATTAGTTACATTGTATAATTCTGAAACAGCAGAAATAATTCTCCCAGCAATCGGACAGGATTAACACCTATAATTGATCACATGTAGTGATCAAGTCAACATTGCTTTTTATTGGTACAATGGTATGAAAAATAAATTAACTAAACTTTTTTTTTCCTCTTCAAACAGCTGCTAGTCTCATCCATATTGGTTTAATGCTCATGGTACTGCTGTAGTGAACAACGGGTTCTAATTTCTGGCATCTGTCCTTGTGATTCGTTAATAACAACAGCTGTGCTGTTGCCCTTGCCTGTGCAGCTCTCTCAGCCATGTTTGACTCCCAAAACCAGCCTGCAGTGGATGCCTTCATTCCTCAGAGAGTGCTGTCCTCCTCCGTGTCTGTCCTGTCCCTGAGACACCGCTCTGACCGACCACCCTGGTGTGAGTATTCCACTGAAGTAATACTTCAGAGCACTTAACTCCGGTGTCCTCATCTGTCTTCTTTGCTACAGCAGAGAACCCACAGAACCCAGAGCAATTCTGCATTGCCACTAAGTCAGTGTGCCTCAGGGTTAGGCTTTTTTTGCACTTGCTTTAAAAGTCCTAAAGATCAGAAGGCCTGAGGGCACTGCTTGGGTTTAAACACTGAGCATAAACACAGGATGGTTAATGGTAAACCTGTTGCCAAACCTCACATTGTTTTGCACCACATTATGTTACTGCTTACTATTTGACGAGCTCCTAAGGCAGGGAACAATTTATCAGGACTAAATCAGGGCTCCCTCATTGACAGTCTGCACTGGCCTGTGGAGCATCTGCTGCTATTTCTGACTGCAGGACTCTCATTGTCTGCTCTTTTCTGTCGGGCTTTCTCTCCCTTCATCATGTACTGTGCTGATGATTAATTTAGTCAGGGCAAAGCCTCTGAAGTACTGTTAAATTTCCAAAATACTGTATTTAATTTTAAATTTCAGCAATCAGGTCATTCTATTTTGCTTGCTTGCTCCTATTTTATTATACATTTTGATTTAACTTAAATGGAGAGTGGATCATAAATTCCTTATAAAACTAAAAGAAGGGAAGGGAGTCTCAAACTAATCACTGTCCAGGTTTCCTAGAACTGAATGGTAAAAAACACTTTTGTTTCTGCCTGTGCAGACAGCAGTGGTCCTTCCAGTACAGTGTCCAGTGCTGGCCCTTCCTCACCCACGACAGCTGACATGTCTCCACGCTTCAGCTTCAGTGACAAAACCCCTCTCACACCCCAGAGCAGTGAGGAGGCACACTCCAGTCAGCAGGGGAGTAGCCAGCCCTCCTCTACTGCCAATCTTCCCAGCAGCTCACCCACTGACACCAGCGCCGCCGGAGCAACCCAACCTAATAGCAAAACCCCCAGTCCTCAGCAGTCCTGCGACCAGCAGTTTAACAGTACAGATCAGCCTGTCAGCTGCACTCACCCGCCTCTTCTAGCCACTCCTAGCAGCCCAGAATCGCAAGAACCCTTGAGCAAACACGTTGAGCAAGACCTGCCCGTTTCCCAGTTGGCTGAGCTGAGCCTGGAGAGGGTGGAATTGGGAGGGACCCCTGGCTCTCTCCCTGTTCTGCTGGAGCTCGGAGAGAGCAGTTCTGAGACAGGATCCAATGCACAAACGCCCCTCACTCCTGAGGCTACAGAGGAATTCTTTGACACACAAGAGACAGTGGAAGTTTAGGAGATCATCCCCAGTAGCCTGGTGCATCCTGGGATGCCACTAGATGCATAAAAGTATCACAGCATTAGTGACTCAGCAAGAGGAAGAGGCAATGTTGTTGTGATCCTTGGGCGTTGTTTTAATTCTTCCTACCATTAGATGTTCAAAAGGATGACATAGCTTAGACAGGTGTTAAATAAGGTCCTGTATCCCCTAATGTTTTATGAATGCATTTGTGGTTGGGTCCTGTAATGATCTGGGTTATGATCATGTTTTCAATCACAATGCAAATTATTGTTTTGTGGCAGTCAAATTCGGTAGTCAGATGTCGCCTTCATGTTTGCTGTGGAGCCAAACCTTTCTTCCAAACCTTGTAATCCATTACACAGAGTATATCTGAGTCAGAGTGATCACATGCATTGGCCCTTAATCTGTGGGAACTGAAAAATATCACTGTTGTTATTTGCAAGAATAGCAATTATTGATATCCGTAAACAGTTTAGTACAGTATATATACATATATTCTCAAAGTTTTCAAGGAAATAATTGCATTAAGATAAGTATTTGTTTCACTGCAAACAACCAGAGATGAAGCAAAAAAATTGTAGCCCACACTTTTCTACAGCTTTTATACACTGAATCCAATGCTAAAGCTGGCTCAGTGTCCCGAAAAACGTACTCCTTTTGGCAATATTTTAACTTTGCACTTTGTCGACAACACTCTGAAAAGTAAATCTGGAAGCTGAATGAAATTCTGTCATTTCTGACACCAAACCATGGGTATAAAAATATAGATTTTTAAAAAAATTGGTATCATTTTAACCATTTTGGTTATGGTACAAAACAATCACTGCGTTCATTACACTCTGATCTTGAAAGAAGATTTGTTTGTCTAGTGCACATTAACGTCTTATATTAATTTTACAAATGTATTTTTATAGCCTCAGATAAATAGAAAGATTTGTAATTTGTTATCTTCCTGCAGATTTAAAAGATCATTAGGCCTATTAATAATCTGAAAATCTGCTTGAGGTCACCATCAGTATTTGCCTGTCGTCTCTAAACTAGCCGCTGGAGTAAAGACATTGATTAAATTCGAGAGACAGAGGGAAAATCGCTGAAGTACAGTTGCCATTGTTTCCAACATTTCCCCCAAAAAATATATCAAAACTCTTAAGTGGATTCCTGTGGATCCGAACACTTGAATGTGCTTTATTGCCAAAGTTTTTAAGTATCACCTGCCACTGAAGTAAAAGGAAGACATTTTCACTGCAGAATACATCAGAAGAACATGGAGCAATGCTCAGTGGATCTCAGTTATCAATGAAATACAGTGGGTTTCTCCTTAAGACTGTTTTGATGCCATGTCTGTTTTTATTTCTATAGATATGACATCAAGTTTCTAAACCTGAAATTTCAAACGAGTTTAAATTCATTTGATATCAACATTTTTTTCCATGTTGCTATTTATTTGTAAAACCACACATGGAATTTCAAAACATTTTTAAACTGCTGTTTATAATTGGATTTATTGTTTATTTGCCTATGTTCAACAATTGCACTGAGTGAAGAATGAACTGATACTGTATTTTGTAATCAGAATGAATTAATTCTGATTTTTTGTGTAGTATTGATGCTGAAATATGTTGGAGAATCAGATGCATTATTTAATGTTGGTTAGAAAAATCCATGCTGCTCTGAAGCAAACACTGTAAATTGTCTCTGTGTTAATGAATCTGAAAATAAATTAATAATATAAAAATTTGAGTGATAGTGATTTGAGTGATTTTAGCTAAATTTGTGTGTTAGCAGTTTAGCTATAAATTCAGTGGTTTCTATGAGCATAATCTAACTCGGGTTGACATGTACTTTGTACACTGTCTTTATAGTAAGCAGTGGTTATTGTGGAACTGATATAGTGAACTGTAGTCTTTAGTGTTACTGTCCTAGTCATCTGTCTCTGAAAAACAGAGCTTTTCAGTTGTCAAACAGATCTTCATTCCATTATCATCTGCTGTCAATAGCCATTCGCTTGTGGCTGTCACTGCTTGATACTTGCTTGGAGAGTTGTTTTCTGGTCCCCTAAACTCAAGTGAGACACTTACTGTTGCTAACAAAGGAGTTCAGAAGGTATTTTAAGAAAAATAAATAACAGACTGGAACTTATTCTGCTATACAGTATCTAGGTCTGAATTGGTTTAAGTCTGCCCATATCTAAAAATGGGACAGAAATGGTTTTCTCTGGTTGCTGTTTCCTTCATCCGTAGCAAAGAAGTATATTGTCACCCCAGTGTTCTGAGAAGAAGATTGCGACCCATGTGTCATGTTTGCTGGAGCATTGTTCTTTGCTGCTCTTTATTAATTATCATGTTTTGTGAGACACCTGCACTAGAAATGGGGAAATGGGGGGAGGGGGGAAGGGGACATCTGGCTCTTGAATTCTTTTGACTGCTGGCTGCAAAAACTCATTTATCAGCTGAATAAACTGCTTATCATTTCCTCACTCCTGGCCATACAGATACACTCCCCCAGGATCCTTACATCTGTCCTTGAGTCTCTAAAGCTCTGTTCATTTTTTATATTTCCTATGCACCCTACCACTTTTCCAGGTCTTCAATTACAGTATAACCGCTACACCACACAGCTTTGGGTTTTCATAGAATGATGACTGTTCTTCTTCCCAGTGCCTCCTCTGCGATTCCTTAATACTTTAACCTGGCCATTCCTCTCTGGTCTGTAGAACCACCCAGCTCCATGCTTTCAGCACTTGACATGTTGACACAGAGAATCTTACTGTATTAGTTGTAATTTAAAATCTTCACCGTAGCTGATTAATGTGTAAAAATATTGCCTTTAATGTGGGGAAGGGATTAAAGAAAAAGCTCTCAGTCTGTGAATTCAGTAATGAATGTTTGACAGTGATGTGGCAGATTAACATTAACTACAGTACGTCAGGCTGCATAAAGCATAGTAGTTCAGGTGGGTAGCTGCGTCAGCATGCCTAGTCTGCAAAGAAACACCTAATAGGTTTATTCCACGCTGAAAAGAGAAGAGAGAAAACACCATGTTAATCACCATTTTCAGCATGGGATAAGCATAAAGGATAGATGCATTACTGTCGCTGACCCATTACAAAAATAAGGAATTGTCTGCACTAAATTCAATTTGGTGATGTTTAGCACAAACATTTTCCTTACACGGAGATTTGTGATTTCTAATCTAGCAAAAATAAAATCTTTTAAAAACATTTTATAAAAAACAAATACTACAAGTACTACAAGAACACTAGTTTATTAGTTTATTACTCTGTTGTTTGGTGCAAAAATGTATTTCTGTGTTTTAAAAACTGTTTTTTTTTTATTTGTTTCTGATTTTTCCAAAAATAATCAAGTTCCATAAAGCAGACAAGAATTAGTTACAGTTCCTGAAAATGTGTTTTTAGAGTGCAAAGAGCCTGTTGGGTCTTTTTTTTTCTTGGCCTTGAAAGTATTGATTTTGCACCAAATCCCTTCAGTTTGCATACAGAGTTATTAATTAAAGATTTTAAGGATCAGGAGCCAGATGCAGCAGATTAGCAAAGATTACTTTTTCACCAGAGCAGTAATTTGTACCAGAAGGTTATCTGTGTGTGTGTGTGTGTGTGTGTGTGTGTGTGCGCGCATGCATTTACACGTAATATTATGTATTAGAGGTTCTTCAAATGGAATAGGTGAGCTACTTTATGAATTCCTCTGGGTTACAGAGATACACTGCACTGCTAAGTATGTCATTTTTCTCCCTAATAATCTAATTATGTTAAATATAGCCAGATGCCGAATGCCACATCCTAATTGGGTTCTTTGAGTGTGCCTGCTTTCACATCATCTTAGAAGGTCACTTTGTTATTGAGGATATGATAGGAGGGGGCAGCGCTGCAGTCAGACAGCAAGCTGCAGCCAGCAGCCACACGTATGGGCCGAGGTGGGTTGGTACTTTTGGGTTTTGAACTGAACAGACCCCTTGAGGAGCCGAACCACAAGGGGAACATAATTCTGCTCAGACAGCAGCCGCATCCCGTTGACACTTTTCTGACACTGACCCTGGTTGGGTGTCAAGAGAGCCAACCCTGTTAGTCATCTAATTTGTTTATAGTCCTCCAAGGCTTTGCAAAGTCTCAGTTCATTTTCACCTGGCAGTTAATCTGTCCTTTCCTGAAGTATATAAATCCTCCACTCCTCCGTATGCTCTGCAAGATATTTGTTTTCTCCCCCTGTTATTTGCCAGCCTCCCGCTCCTGTCTGTATGGGAGATGGATGATTTCACTTTGCTATGCAGAGACCCTGCCTATCACATTAATAAAGGTTATGGGAGTTTTCAGTGCTGTGTGATTCTGGGTGGCAGCTGAGCTGAATTCTGACCATGTCTGCTGTATGTGATTGCTCGATCTTCTAGGACGACCCCAGTGAAGGGGAGGGCGCTGGTGGGATTTACCCCCCTTGTGACTTGTGGGTGAGAGAAGTTATGGGCAGGCAAGCTGGGTGCTGATTTGGAGGGCGGGGCGAAGTTTTGAATCAGCAGAAACCCAGTAGTCCTGGAAAGATGTCATCTTTGTTATATGGCTGATTTTAAAGCAAAGTCCTAGTGCAATCAATTGAATTTAAAGACAAAAATGTTCAAATCCCAATGCAATCAGTGGGATGTAAAACACAACCTAACCTGCCAAAAAGACTTTTGCTGCAGCTCTTCTCTCATGGGAATATGCCCGAGTTAGCATAATGCAAAGGCAGTTTATAGGAAAATGATTATTTGCATGCCAAGAGAGCAAGCAGCATGGATAGGGGTGATTTGAATAAGCCCCGTACGTGGCTGAATGTCACTCCGGAAATTAAATGGGACCTTGAGAGCTGCCATTGGGAAACCTCCCTGATTCACAGGCCCCTTTGGGGTCAGTGGAGTACACCTGCGTACTGTGTAATCAGTTTCATTCATTAACGAACAGAATGCAGAGTGAAATCATTGGTTTCCTTTTAATTTTGACGTTTGCATTCGATTTTCCACTTTGTTTTGTAACATAATTTTTAGGATTTCTTTTTGCCTTGCTGCAGAGATATCGAGCTGACTGTTCTGTATTTTAACCTTCTTTTAACTTCCTTGACAATTGCAGGTCAGGTCTGTAATTGCATTCCTTCATCTATGTGAAATCCCTCTTCAATCATCAATCTTCCAGATTGGGTGCTGTTTTTCCAGTAATAGTGTTTTCTATGGTTATTTATCTAAGGTACCAATAAAGATCCAGGAGAGGGGGCAGCTGGCTGTGCACCATGTGTGTTTGAAATCCTGTGTGTTTGTTTTTGTGTAAATGGAGTCCAGGTAAACAGCAAGTGTACAGAAAGTGGCTGCCCTTCATGTGCCCATGCCCATGTGCCAAGACGATGCCTGGGAGACTAGAGATACTGATGATTCCAAGAGGAACTGTTGACATTTCAATTAGAAAGGAAGTTGCACAGCCGTTTTCCTGTGGATCGCATGCCTGCCGGTTTCACATGTAATACAGTAAAACTGTAAGCACACTGCAAAACTAATTGCAGAGGATGTGGGTGGATTCTGGGAATCGCACAAGACACTAACAAGAACTTGCTGCACCAGGATTACTGACGCTTTGCAGATGAAAGTGTTGTGTGAACTGCAGGGATATACAGTACATGTTCTTTCTTCTCATACTGAATAGTAATTGTGTTTGAAATAGAATAGCAGTCTATTAGCAGCAAGAATTTTAGTTTTCCAGTTCTCGTGCAAAAAAACTGAAGTCTAAATGTTTTGTTGGCAGTTGCTTTATCTTTCATCAAAGTAAGTGGTGTATCTGTGTAAACACAAAGATGATGTGTATCATTTTGAAAACCTCCCTTTGTCCCATTGCGTTTCTCATGGATGAACTTAAAGCCTGAAAAAGAAGCAGTACAATATACAGGCATGAGCTGCCTGTGAATAAAATGAACTGCACAAACTGTGAGCCCATTCAAAAAGCAGTTTTCTTTTGAATGCTCTCTTTGACATTCCTAAGCCATTTTTCACTATTGATCAATATAAAATGATACAAAAGAAGCTCCCCTTATTAACACTGCTCAACTATCATAGTGTGCAAATCAGGAATAATTGACCTTCCTGATTTCTTTAGCATCAGAATAATTAAAAGCGCAATGCTAATTGCCTTTAGCTAAGTCTGTTTTTGGTCTAGCGGGAGATGTGGGGATTATTGGTCAGGAATGTGTTTTATTCCTCTCCCCCTTATGAGGCCAGTGATGACTCATCGCTCATTTGCTAGCGTCGGTCTGTTGTCATGGAGATAACTTTCCCTTTCTCTAATTGTCTTTACATGGAGCTGCTAAGCGAACAGGAGGCTGTGCTGTCAGAAAAGTGGGGTGCTGGCTGAAGGGAAAATACTAATCCTTTTATAACGCTCTCTTTTACAGAATCCTGAACGGTGCATAATGCCTTCTGTTGGCATCATAAACAAAGTCTTCAGCTGCTGGTTCCAGTGTTCAATTCTTTACGAGCCTCCTACACAGGGCTCACACGTTAGGTCTGCATGTGGCTTCTGCCTATCTGTATGCAAGCTGAGATCTGAACACTCCCATTAATTATGCCATCTGTCATGATTATTATTAGTTCTGAAGGATGAACATCCTTATATCTCAGGCTTAAATCGCTTTCCTTAACTGGAATGTAGAGATGCAAGAGGTCTTATAGACTTTGTGGCAGCATTTTCACAGGTTTTTTTTTCTCCAGAC